TATCATTTAGATACTTTTCCATTATACTGGCGATAAAGTCACCACGGAATATCGCCGCTGATAACCTTTTGCCTCCACATTTTCAAAGTAAATTGCAAATATTTTTTTTTATAGGTCACTTTTTTTTTCTTAATACAAAAAATTAACGAAAATGCAATGACAATTTGGGATTTGCCCAAAACAGAGGAAGAAGGAGTCAGATTCTTTTGAGAGAAAGGAGTTTTAGAGGAAATCGAAACTTGTGATAAGAATCACAAAATTAAATTGTATATCAGAGATGAAATTTAACGGCACTGCAACCTTTAATCTTGCCGCTGAAAAAGAAGTATCTGTAAAGGGTTCAATCATCGATATTGAGCTTTTCGAGGCGTTTATTTATTGATGGAGTGAAGAATTAGCATGAGCAACGGAAAATAGGAGGACTTGGCATGATCGTCGAAGTGGACAAAAGCTTGTTTACAAAACAAAAAAGGGATGAAATTCCTTAGGGGGCGGGTGCCAAACAGATCCATGAACATTTTATTGTAGGAAAATATCAAAAAAGAAACTATAATATATTCCGATTCATGGAAATAATACTGCACTAGTAAGATGGAAGATGAAAGTTTAGAACATAACAGAGGACCCATTTGAAACAGTTTTAAGCAATGTTAAAATGTTTATATCTCCAAAATAAAATATTTTAACCATTTATTAACTGTGTTTAACCAATTATTAACTTTACGTGTATGCTGTGTGTAGCGGCCAATGAAGTTTGCTTCATGTGATTTTTTCCGGCGACGGTGTGCTGCAGCCAGAAAGTCTGCTTGGCAAGATTTGGCGTCGGTATAATGGAAAAGTACCATCATTTATTACGTAGATTAAATCTGAAATTTTTTTTTTCTCCTTTAAAAAACTTCATCTTTTCTGGCCAATAAAATTTTATTTAAACTTATGAAGATTTTTTTTATAATTATTGCAAAACCTTAACTATTGATCATGAATGGTATTACAACAAAATGAGGGAATGTGATTGACAGAACTTTTGAATCTGTTTGTATAAACAAAGTTTGTACTGTTAAATCTGAATCTTCTGAGTTAGCATTTTTCCTCAATATTTTTGGAATCTGTACTTTTAGGACTAAGCATTAAGGATGATGAAGTGAAAAATAAGAGGTATGAATAGCTACAAGGAAAAGTTAAATGGTGCAATTAAGCGATCAGGGTAAAAAGATATGAAGTTAGCTGTTATTTTTGACATCCTAGCAGGAAAAAAATAAAAATAAACAAGTTAAATGAAAAATAAATGTTTCTTTTAAGAAAAAATATTTCGAATTATTGATATAATATGTGGGCCATTCCCATGCAAAGAGCAATGTAAATTTTTGAAATATTCTGCTAATTCACACAGGACTGGTTAATTTATAAAAATGAAAGTTCTGCCTTGAAATTTTTTTCCGGGTGGCACTCTTGAATAAGAATTCAGACATTTAAAAAAAAAAAAAAAAAAAAAAAAAAACATTAACTATAACGATTAGAGTTCTTTCTTACTAAAAGATAAAATAGAATACTACAGTACAGAACTCGTTATCCGGAAATCAGAAAACCAGAACGAAATTCCACACACTTTTTCCGCCATTTTTTTTAAAATTTTTTTTTTTATTCCACATAAGAGTTTAGGATTTTTTTTTTTTTTTTTTTTTTAAAGATGTTTACCTTACCATCATTTTAGAAATAATCATTAGTGTATTACTTCATTGCTTTTTCTTATTTTTAAGATTATTTCCAAATATTTTTTTTTTAGTTGAGTTTAACAATAAAAAAACGGCTTTTTGCAGCGATTCAGAAAACCAGGAAAATCAGTTATCCGGAATAGCGATGGTCCCGATTGTTCCGGATAATCGTTTCCCTACTGTATTTTAATTCACCCAACATCAAAGATACCAGACACGAACCATTTAATCAAAATTAAATTTTTGTTACTTGACTTAATGTCATATTTTACTTAGAGTAGATTTCCGTAACAGCACCAGACACAATAGCAAAATTCTGGCACTGATTGGGTGGTGGCAGGAGGGGAAAAAAAACATCACAGAAAGGCACCAAGCAATAACTCTAGGGATATCACTGAGAGCCAACCTAACAATGTAAAGGCAAACCACTACATATTTTTACTTCAAAATTTAATTTTAGTTGCTTCTAAATTTATATGTAATAAATTCCACACTAAGAAAACTTGAGGGAAATATTGAAGAAAAGGCAATCATTCTTGAAATGTATAAAACTATACATATACAGGGTTCCCACTCTATGATGAGATTGAAATTCAAGGACTTTTCAAGGACCTCTACAAAATTTTCAAGGACCTTAATCTAAGACCAATTTTAAAAATTATTCTCTTCTATTTTACTAGAAGCAACAATGCTTGTTGTGGCAATAATTAATTTCAAATCAAATATAATACCTAAATGCTTTGCCTATATAGAGAGAAGAGAGTACATGTATTATGGACTACCATTTATATTTTTTTAAAAACAACCCTACTGGTTTTACATATTAATTCACAAAATCATTTTCAGCACAATCTATAACTAATGGTAATGAGGTGTTAATGGTGAAATCCTTTAATCCTGTGTATTTCCATGTGAAGGCTGCATGAAAGACAGAGCTAAATCTTAGGTATTCCATATTCCATGACTATTCCATAACCCCCTCCTCTCCTCTATTAAACATCGTTTCTGAAATTATTCATCCATAATTTACACAACCTTCTCTAAATGTTATGCAGCAACAATTCTTTCTGAAAATAAAAATTAGAAGGAACATATCCCATTTTCACCATGTTTAAAAGCATTATTCGTTATGTGTAATCCACAACTGCCAATGAATATGACCTGGTGGGAATATTTCTCTTTTAATTCACACTGAAGCTTCTAATAGAATTTCCAATTGACATAGGGTCCATCCATGGATAATTGAAGTATTTTAGAGAGCTTTTAACCATCATCCATGCATTTGTAAAAAGAGGACAAAATATTTTCTGCAGTTCCATGACCCATAAATTGGGAGGTAAGATACTTAGTGCAAACTTTATTATCAATTCCTTACCATAATGTCCATCTGCTTAGATTGTAGAGACTGATTTAACGTCTCATCAAAGAGTACAGTGTAGCAATCAACATTCTTCAGCTCATTTATAAGAATCCCTTTGAAGTATAGTGCCAATCCAAAGGAGCCCAAATAGGCTCACTTTGTGGCACTACAAAAAAATTGTCTCGCTATACAGCTATCAGCAAACATTTTGGAGAACAATTTACTAATCCCTTCACAGGAGTTACATGAATAATTACTAGTGATGCACTTCAGACTCCAGAGAATTTCAGCATCAAGCACATTCCTTTTGACCAGATAAGAAGACAATGTTACCTCGGCCACTAAAGTTTCTGTTTCACATGGGGCACACGATGTTGAAGGAGTATTTACACCAGATGAATTAGATGTTGATGTCTTTGGAAAAAGAGAACTCAGGGCATGAGACTGCTTTTTTGTTTTACCTTTCTTTCATGTGTGATTTCAGAGCAGATTCTTCCATTTTCGCGATATCGATCTCCTTCATGCATAATCGGCACTTGGCTCTGAACTTCTTTTCGGGCATCGATAAAATCCATTCTTTATAAGCTTGATTATCCATCCATTGGGGATTAAAATAGCACTTCCCAGGCATAACTAGTCTAAACTACATAACACAAATACGAAGCCGTGCCTTTGCGAATACGCTTTACAATAAAGTTTTGAAATGACGCAAACGTAAGGACAAGTGCGGATGGTAAAACGGCAAATTTATTGAAAACTACAAGGTACATATTGTTACGAAATTCGAGAGTATTCCAGTTTCGATAAGAAAAAAGAAGATCTAAGCATATGCGACAGAAGATGAAGTGGAGTCTCGCCCCGAACGCATTGATTGTCTGCTGTGCTCCGCGCGCTTGGCAGACACCAAGACGCTAGGCCCGGTTAGAAACGGTGGCGTTAAAAACCACGTGAGAGAGCTCGGGAACAAAACAGAAAGAACGAGAAAGATCCGCGGGTGTTTTATAAAAAGGGCCGCCGGCAGTATTGGACAAATTTAAGGACCTATCGAGTTTTTCAAGGACCTAAGACGTTTTTCAAGCACTTTCAAGGACCTAAATTTAGCAACAAAAAAAATTCAAGGACTTTCAAGGACCGTGGGAACCCTGCTATATACTTCTAATTTTTTATATATAAAACTACATAGATTTCGGCACGTAAATGGCCCTTAAGAAATATTTAGAGCCCTTGGTGAAAACAGTTGGTGCAAACAGGTACAGTTACTAAGTAGAGTAGAGAAAGTGTCAAAACATGGTCTTAGAGCATCTTTGGAGCAACAAAAAAGCAATTTTGGAGCAGCGAAACAAAGATTTGGAACATATTTAATAAAAAGAATTAAAATAAGAATTTTATAACAAGAATTTTTAATTTTGTTCATGAATAACATATCTTATTTTTTACACTCTTTTGAAGGTCCCTGCATTAACAAATTAAGTTTCTTTTTACTATCTTCCAATGCTGTTAAATATTCTGCTATCCTCGACTTAGCCTCAGATAAGAGGATCTGTCCACTTTCTATAATCGACACGTCTATATTATTTAACCCATCTTTCATACTATTTTCAGCTGTGGCAAAGAGATCACGAGAAGCCTTAAATTTTTTTTGCGAATCAATTTCAGCAGCTTTCAATCTGCTTTCCTCAGTTTCAGTGTCTTCCCATTCTTTTCGCTTTCTTCTTTTTCAACCTCTAATCAAGCAGAATAATTTTTAAAAATGCTGCAAGCGCCACTTTAATCATATCGTTGTCAACTTTAAAGTTATTTAAACCCTCTATTTTGTTAATATGTGACACAACATGTCTCAAACCATTAACTAAAATAGAAATTTTTTTAAAAGTAAACAATAAACTTAATATAAAATATTGATTTCATTAATACATATTTTTTTTTACCTCAGTGTCTCTGCCCTTATTCCTGAAATTTTCTAGTCTACTTTGAGTATACATTGTCACCTAAAAAAAGGACAATAATTAAGAAATACAATATATTTATAATTAACAAAATATGATATTAACTTTAATCTATTTGATGGTTTAAATATAAGAGAACGGTATCATTCATACATTTTTTTATATAACTATCATCATTATAAGGGTCACGTTATAATGAAGCTTTTCAAAAATATATTCTTATTAACTTTGCCAAAAATTACAGCAATGTAAATCAAAATAATTGTTTCTAACTTAATAAACAAAATAATTAAATACTAAAACTAAACTCAGCGGCGGGACAGCCCTTGAGGACCAAGGCATACTGTGCACATCTCAGTTTTCTTGACCTTGGGCTCTGGGGTGCAGAAGCAGATGTTCCGGTCAGGTGGTCAGCCGAGCGCAGAACCCCCAGTGTTTAGTTCCCAAGCATGCTTGGTACTCATTTATCGACCCACTGAAGGGACGAAAGGCTAAGACAACCTTGCCTGGCCCGAACCAGGGACCTGTGGCACAACAGCGCGAAGCGCTACCGCTCAGCCACCGGCAAAAAAAAAAAAAAATAATAATAATTAAATAAGCCTTAATTAAATATAGGCAATAAGACTAGCAGGCGACAACACCAAGTACAATAAATAAACTATCACTTCGCTGTCTCACTGGTGTCGGAACCATAGGGGTCCGAACCTCCCACCCCCAATAATTGGTAAGCCAGGGTCCATTATTTTGAGAAAATATCTCTGTTTTGTTCCCATAACTTTTACTCTCTTTTTCTTACATAGTGAAATTTATTATATTATATAAATTAAATTTAAAGAAAATTAGTAAAAAATAAAACACATAAAAAAATGCACTGTATAAAGAAAATAAAACAGATGTATGTCTTTGTCTTTTGTATTTCTTTGTGTAAATTTACGTCAAGTTTTTATGGTTACTAAAATGAACATTGTGATCCAAGAAGATCGAAATATCTCCAGGGTGGCCACTCAAATCAGATATCAAATTTCCAGGTTTTTGTTTCTTTTTTCTTATAAAGTGTAGGATGTGTACAAGAAAAGTGTCTATATTATAAAATATTTCATTCAAAATGTTATTTTTGTTAACATATCATCTTGAAAAAAGAAATTTATTTTGACAATTTGGCAAGATTTTTTATTTATTTTTCAAATGTTTTGGTACAAAATTTTGAATCAAAAATCATATATTGACCTACAAATGAGTAAAATTAAATATTAATATATATAGTTGGTTCTTAAAAAAAAAAAAAAAAAAAAAAAAAAAAAAAAAAAAAAAAAAAAAAAAATTTTTTAAAAATATGTTATAAAAGGTTAAAATGAAATAGAAAAAATTAGCATTAATGTAACAATTGTAACGATTTATCGACAAACATTGCTGTTAGCAATTGTAAAAAATTGTGTGATTGGTTGGTTTGCTGAGAAAAAATAATTCACAGATTTCTTTGAATGGGAGTAGAAAAGCTTTCAGAAAAAGAGTGCAATATAAAATCTATTATTATTAAATTATAACCAACTAAGTTTTGGAGAATTTTATGAAGTTAAAAATACAAAAACATTTTGTCAAAATAGGAAGAAAAAAAAATTACCACCAAAGCATCGGAACAAACTTTAGCCATAAATGGATTCAGCCCAAGGACAGAATTTAAAAACAGAAGCTACTATCCTAATCCCTTTTTCCACCTCCACCAGAATCTTTCCGAAATTGCACAGTCCCATAGTGGTCAAAGGTTTCAGCATTTGTTTAGCAACCATGGGAGGATTTTATGTGACAGTCTAGCTTAACAGAGCTGTAATGGAGCAAATTTTGATGCAAGCAAAATATCGCTATTTTGATGATATTTCAGCTGTTTGGCGATACATTTCCGTTTAAAAAAAGTGGGTATAATGGATGAAATAATTTAAATTAAGAAAATTAGAAAATAATTTAAATTAATAAAATTAAAAATAATTTCAAAGAAAAAATTTCCAGCTTTTCTTTGAAATTCCCTGATTTTTCCAGGTTTTTATCCAAATTTTCCTGATATTTCCAGTATAAAAAAAATTCCCTGATAATTCCAGGTGGATGGCCACCCTGATCTCATCTTATCTGATTTTTTTCTTTAATATAATAATAAGGTAAATATACAAAAAAAATATGCTAAAAATGATTCCGACCACAATTATTCTAATTTATCATTTCTTAAAAATATGAATACTAATTCTGTCAATCAACTTTATTTTCCTTTTTAAGCACAACAATTTAGATTTTTAAAACCATATAAGTTAAACCAGAGAAAGATGAGAAAAATGCTAAACTTAAAATTGCTTTGAATAGTCTTTTTTTTTTTCTTTTTGCAATTAATGTTGTATCTTTCATGTCAGAAATCCAGATCAAATCAAATTAATAGTAAAGAAGAAGTGCGTGTTTTTTTTTATAAAAACGTTTTATGATTCTTTATAATATTTCTTTAAAAGTTCGACAACTATTTAAAATGTAAAATATGTCCAAAAAAATTTATCTCATTCGGGATTCTGTTATCACATAGGATTACATGACATAATATTAGGCATTTATAAATCTCATGTCACTCTCATCAAAAATTTTAAGACAAAATGTTATTTTCAAAATAAAACTATATTTTTAAGACACTATACCTATTAGATTTAAGTAACTTTACTTTTACTTCAATTTATTTAAAGAAATAAATTCTGCTTACTTTTCAATTGAGACTTTTGAAAAAGAGGACATATGTGATACATTAAAATGAAATGTGTTAAATGATACTTCATATATTTTTAATACTTTATATGTTTTAATGTTTACATATTTTTAATTGTTTTAATTATTTAATTTATAATATTGTTATTTCAATCAATATGTATCAATCAACTGTCTCTCAGGGGCTAAATCTTTTAATATGTTAAAAATATCAACAAAATTTAAAGTATTTTAATTTAACGATTCAATAAAGAATCTTTAAAACGATGCCTGGTTGAAAATGCCTAGTGGGCTAAAAAATCATATTTTAAATCAACCAGGTGTAAAAAAAAAAACAAAAAAAAAAAAACAAATTTTGTTGGAAAATGTTCTGCTTAAGTTATAAAAATCGGAAAGCTTAAATTGTAATCCAAAAACTGACGCAGATGCCTTAAAAATTGAGCACCAACTTCTCCATAAAAACTTTAAAGTCAATTGCTTGGATGATGCGAAAAAAGTACCCTCTTCAACAATCAACGAAATTAGATGCTTATTTAAAAGTGTTGAAAATTTTGTAAGACTCCGTTTAGTTTGCCCCGCTTCGTCTTGTGAAGCCGAAAGAAGCTTCAATGCTTTAAGAAAATTAAAAATGTATTTAAGATCAACAATGACCCAAAAGAGATTAAATCATGTAGCATTGTGTTACGTTCATAAAAACATTTTAGATGTTATTGACAATAAAAAAGTTGCACAAATTTGCATTTCCCAGGTGCAATCTAGGAAAAATATATTTGGCGTAATTTAAATAAGTTTTTCTTAATATGCTCTAACCTTATGTTTGAATACATCTTTGTATTTTTTTATAATCTCAATTTTTGCATGCGTAGCTCACGTCACACAACCACAAACCCGCTTATAGGGTGGGTTAATACTCAATCACACAAATAGAAAGGACATAGAACACAGAGAGAGAAAGAAGCATCCATACCCTGAGCGAGATTCGAACCCACGACCATCGGCTCTGCAATCAGGCCGTAACCCAGGCACGCTAACCACTCAGCCGGCATGAACAAATATAAATTGGATAAAAATTGTGGCCAGTGAAAAAATTTGAAAAATAAAAAGGATTTAAATATTGTATAATTAATTTTAAAATTGTTAAGAAGTAACACAACAAACAGGACAATTTTATAATTATCAGAAAAAAGTGGTAAGGTATGAAATTAGTATTTCAATTGATGTCAAGATAAAAAAAATATATAAGAAATTGAGAAGCTCGTGTAAGAGTCGTTTTTCTGAATTGCTTTTAATATTTTAGTTTTCATAAAAGAAACTATGACAACGTTAGACGTTTTTGACCAAGTTAGGCGTCGGTTTTATACCATTGTAATCTAGTCTTTCATCACACGAGGACATGGTTTATTTTCGCAGCATCCTCTTTTACCATTATTGTCTTTCAATTTTAGAGTCTTTGAACTTCACAAAAGGCACCAAAAGTTATGGCAAATTTGCAAATAGAAGTGTTTTTACAATCTTCGTAGTTGTAATGGTATTTTTTTTATTGCATTTATTTCTAAAAACTACTAGTGATCGTTAAGTTTTTACTCATGGTCTTAGGCTAAAATACTAATTGTGAGCATGATTCTTTTTCTTCTCAAAACTATATAATTATAAATCTTGCTTGTCAAGTTATTTCTTAATATACTTCAAGAATCAAATAAAAGGAATTTAAATTGTATTTTTCGATTTTTCTTATATGTTTTCACTAGTCGGAACGTTTTACTCATGAAAGTTTACTACAGTTAGTTCATGTTGAATAAGTTAGAAATACTACAATTGATTTGGGCGATTCCACAGTATTTGTAGCCTGATGTGTCAAATTTTTTATTTTTATTTGATACAATGTGTTGTATATCAAATTAAAGATAATTAAACATAGTTAATGAATTTAAAATTCTTTTTAACTAAAATTTGATATTTTTTTAAAGAATTCAAGAAATATGTTACAAAATGAGTTTGAAAGTTGCAGACATGAAAAACAAAAAGTCAGTTTTTTAGGTAACTAAACCATTCAAAATGTTTAATTTAACGTGAAGTTTTTAAACCCATATTAGATTCAAACAATTTAGGAGCTAAAAAAAACTTCATTTTTGCCTTTGATAGATTATTAAAGGTGTTTATAGGTTTAAAATGCAGTTTTTTTTATAAAAAATTTCAAATTATTTTTATACAGATTTTATTTACAAGTTTATAATCCAAAAATTAGTTTTTCCTCTGTTTATTTACTATGCTTAATCTATATCAGTAAAAAAAAATTGATGATTTTATTATTTAATATTTTTAAAAAAATTAAATTTGTCATGTCTGCAACATTGCAGACATGACTGCTTATTAGTACCTAACTGATGTAACAAAATAGTTACCAATGTAAAAAAATATTTAAAATAAAAGTTTAAATAGCATAATATGGCAACACTTAAATATCTTTTAATTTGTGTTTGTAGAAGTGGCAACAGTTTTGGATATTTTAAGCACATGTCTATTGTTTACTTGCATATTCTCATTTTATTATGCAAAGTTTACTTTCTCCTAGCTTTAAGAAAAATATTTTAAATTAAAATTGTTAACTTTATTTTAGCAATTGTATAAATTAAAGTTGTTGTGTAAAAGTTTTTGCAACTTGAAACAAGGTAAGCATAAGCCATGCCTTTAACTAGTACTGAAAGATCTCGTATTAGAAGACAAAAATTGAAAGCTGATCCATAAAAATATGAAGCAATGAAAACTGAAGCAAGCAGAAAAAAGAAGGAATACAGACAATCCAAAATACTAACTGAAGAGCAGAAGATCAACATAAGGGCAAAAAATAAGTAAGCACAAAAAAGATGCAGGGAAAAAAAAAAGAAAGATGCAGAAATAATAACAGATTCACCTGGCTACACAAGCATTGGGTAAAGCTGTTAAAAAAAATCACTAATTCTCTATCAAGATCCAGGTCCGCCGCTAGCCGATTCGAGGATTGTAGGAAAAAAAGGTCCCGGAAAAAAAGGTACGGAAAAAAAGGTCCCGGAAAAAAAGGTACCTGGAAAAAAAGGTACGGAAAAAAATGTCCCCGGAAAAAAAGGTCCTGGTAAAAAAGGTACCTGTGTAGGGAAAATTCTGTAGGGGAAAATATTTTAAATTAGAAGATTGGATTGAAGCGCTTTTCGCTGTTCCGTGCATGTTTTTTTGCGTGTCGCACGTGTTCAAAGAGCTTTTTATCCAACTT